CTACCCCCAGCAGGACCGCTCGGGCACCGGGATGAACGTGGGAACCTCCCAGGCCCAAGCTGGCCCCAGACTTTGGGAGCTCACACACCCGACCCCCCGAACTCCTCCAAAGAGACCTTCCATCCTGTCTGACGCTGCGGGTGCAGCCCAGCAGGTCTACGCCACGGAGCACCCACGCTGGCTGCCAGCCCTCCCCACCCATCCGAGGCCACAAGAGCCTTTGGCCGAGGCCTGCCAAAAGAGCTCGGTAAGTTCTAATCCTAGACGCTGTTCCCAGAGGACTACAGGAAGCCACGAGCTACCCTGCTGAGCTGGAACAGAGCCTTCAGGGCGGCCTCATCTTCCACAAACTCTTCCTTCACATCGGCATCGAAGGTGAGGTAGGCCAGGCCCTCCACTGCCCAGCGCCGGGTGCCTGCATCGATCTGGTCATTGCACAGCCACCTAGGGACATGTGGGGCGGCGGATGACCATCAGAAGGGCTGGGGGAAGGGGCCGCCAAGACCGAGCGGGCAAAGCCACAGGCTTGTGCACCCCCTCCACGCACGAAGCAGTTCACGTGGCAGGATCCGGGAGGGTCTGCCTGGAGGAGAGCAGGGTCATGAGGAGGTCCCACCCTCCACCCAGACCTTTCTCTCGAAGGTGGGGAGCCATGGCAACACCAAATAACTCACTTTCGACACTGCTTGGCGAGTTTGAGAGTAGAGCCTTCGGCAAACTGCTTCATGCTGAAGTCCGTCCCTCCAGCCGAGCCGAGCTTGCACAGCCCCTGGAGGAGGCGGCGAGAACCAGCTGTCGGTATCCGGGGATGGAGGCAGAGCTGGGCTCCTCTGAGCCCGGCTCTCTCCCTGACATTCTGCCCGGCCCTCTGGAGGCCACGCACATCCACCCCAGGCTACCACCTGCAGCACCGGCAGCAAATCAGCTACTGGGGTGGCCACGTGACACACATCTGGAGAGACTGGTGTATCGTCCCCTGCGCAGGCCTGGATCCCAGCCCCTCCAGATCTACACCTGGACTTGCTCGTTTCATTTCCATGTCAGACAAAGAGCTCTTTGCAGGTGGAGCTATGACACGTGTGGCGAGAAGACAGGTGCCTCGGCCAAGGCAACATCCTCCCGGGATGGAGAAGTCCTAGACTAAGCTCATTTTCTCTCTCTGGGTTTTCAGGCCTCCCCAAGGAGGAGGACTGGCTTTCCCAAGCTGCATGGAGGCCATCTAGTGCTCAAGCCACCAGCACCTGGGGCCGCCTGCAGGCCCCGCCTTTCCGCATGGCCCCTCTGACTAGCCTGGCCCGGCGGTCCTCTTCCTCCTCCACCATCTCCTCCTGGAGCTTCTCGTACCACCTCCAGGGGGCGGCATGAGTCCTCTCAGGACGAGGCTCATCTCCCCGACTGGACCATGAGCCCATGAGCCGCGTGGTAGAAGGAGCCAGGGCTCATGCCTCCGGCCTCGACGAGGCCCCGCACATCCCATATTTTCACCAGCATGTGCCGGAGCCGCACCCTGAGATACGGGCCACCCAATACCCCCCGCCTGCCCACCCACCCGTGTGCCCAGCCCAGGCCGGCACGTCTCACCACCAGCGCCCGGATCCGGATGCTGTCCTTCTCGCTGCGCTTATACAGGTCCTTCAGCAGCGAGACGCCGTTGGCAGTGATGAACGAGGCCCGCTTGGCCTTGCCGGCCGCGTGGATGAGGGCCTCCACGGCTACCAGCTGCTCTTCCTCCTGCTCAGAGGCACACAGAGCGATCACGCTCTCCATGACGCCACTCAGCTCCAGGGCCCGGTTGCCGGCTTCGCATGGGCCCTGCAGGAGGCAGGACACCGTCTGGATGGCCCGCAGCTTCCCGGCCAGCCCTTGGCCCTCAAACCAGCTCCTGAGGGGCACAGGGTGACAGCTGTCACACCAAAGCTGACATAACGGGACCCTCCTTCCCCCTCTTCCCGTCCACCGGCCAGGCATCTGCACTACTTGGGCGGGAACAGCAAGAAAAGCCACCAATGGGAAGACTAGGACGTTCCCCAGGAGGCCGGCTGTCCATTTTCTCTCTCTGGGCTTTCAGGCCTCCCCCGATTATATGCCTGACATAGGTTACTCTCGCTCACACCACCGTCCATTGCCTTTCCTGTACTCATCAAGACCTGAAATTGTTCTGCTTAGTTTACGATGTGTCTTCAGCCCCACCTGTCGCCTCCTTAAGGGTAGGACGACTGTCACGCTGCACCGCCGTGTGGGAACGGATACACAGCAAGTGCTCAGGAAGCACAGGGAGAGCTCGAGGACATTGCTGCATCGTAGAACGGACCACAGAACGTCCCCGGGGAGGCCACTGTGGGAAAAGAAGTGTCCCTGTCCCCGGCTAGGCCTCCCCCAGGCTGCTCTCCCTGCTGAAAACCTTTCCCTGCCACCCTTCCCTGAGGGGTCAGGACTCCTGTCGGAGCCCCCGGCAATGAGACAAGGGGCCAATTCCCTTACTTGATGTAGTTTTCGCAGAGTCGGTGGAAATTCTCCCTCTCAGCATCACACTTCAGGTCATCGAAAAGCTTGCTGAGGAGGACGGAGGCGCTCATGCGGCTGTTCGCCGTCACCATGAGTTCCCCAGGAGGGTCCTGCACAGAGCCCCCCACCTCCAGAATCTTTTTCAGGCCTGAAAAGACACACTATTTAGGCAGCAGAATGCTAGTTCCAACCCCTAGCGGCAAAGGGAGGATGCTCCCTGGGAGAGGCACGGAGAAGAGGGACCTCTCAGGGACAAGGGCATAGGGCGTGGACAGCCACACGCAAAGCAGGCTCAGAGAGCATGGCCAGCTAACCACCACTGCCTATGGAGGCGGCTCTGGGGTCGGGGAAGGAACTCAGAAGTGAGGACCGCATGGGGGCACCTGGGTGGCTCAGTCAGTTACACATCTGACTTCAGCTCAGGGCATGATCTCTCAGGTTCGTGAGTTCGAGTCCCGCATCAGGCTCTGTGCTGACAGCTCAGAACCTGGAGGCTGCTTTGGATTCTGTGTCTCCCTTTCTCTCTGCCCCTCCCCCACTCATGCTCTGTCTCTCCTTTCCCTCTCTCAAAAAGAAACATTAAAAAATAAATACATAAAACTAAAGAAGTGAGGACTGCATGGTGGCCCTACCCATGGGGCCAAATGTTCTGGGGACTCTGAGGCTCCTGGTCTGTAAAACTGAAGGGGAAAATAACACCCATGGCTCACACCATGACTGGGACACTGAAGGATGAGCCCCCGATAAATGTATTCATGCAGGGACTTTGCCAAACCTTCCTCACTTACGTTTTAAGGGAAAAGAGAAGTACGAATTAGTTAATGAATATATGCGTGTACGTGTGTACGTATGTAATACTCTTTTAAAGTACTCTCTCTGCCCAATGCAAGGCTCAAACTCATGACCCCAAGATCAAGAGTTGGTGTGTTCCACCGACTGAGACAGCCAGGCGCCCTGAGAAGTATGAGAAGTATGAATTTATATAGTAAACTTCTAAGCATTTTTTCTCTGAGTATAGAAGTAATTTACACTCACTGAAAAAACTTCAAACACAGAAAGCTGGTCCAGCCTCCCCCTTAACCTGTGTGCAATGCCTGCTCGATGTACAAGCATGTGCACATGCTCACGGCTGAAGGGTCTGAGTTCTCTAAGGATACGATGCAGCCACAGGGTACACTTCAGTGCAGACATATGGCAGGGAACAGTCCCCACTGGGGATAACTCGGCCCAGTCACCCAAGCAAGATGTAACACATACGCTCAGTAACCTTGTCCTTCTTTAAAACTGATCACCAACCTTGGTCAATGACCCAGAGGGTGAGGCTGTTGTTGGGGTCCTTAAGAGACTTCCGGGGCACTGTTTTAATCAGGAGGGTCAGAGCGTTGTCCCGACCTTGACCAGAGACCCCCACCTCAGTCAGTAGTTCCAAGAGGTTACTGATAAGGATCTTCAGCTCCCGGGCAGGATCTGGCAATGAAAAGACATTCGTGGGCTCCACAGTGGCCCAGCCCTGTCCGGCCCCTGAACTTCCCCTGTAGGCCAGGGAGACACAGAAAAGGGAGACCTGCATCCTGGGCTCTGGCCTGGGCTCCAGCCTTCCCTGCAGGTACCCTGGCTTAGAACCTAGAGTCAAATACTGTCCCCAAGCCACATTCCTCAACAACCTGCAGCTGCAAAGAGCTGGCTTGTTTGGCTGAGCCCCTTCCCCTCCACGATCGCAACACCCAAAGGACCGCGGACCTGATTGTACTCACCCACAATGATGGCGCCTTCTTTGCCTCTGAAGCCTTTCTTGACGCCTTCCTTGAGGGCATCAAATATAACCTGCAGCAGGTGGCAGGCAGCCAGGGACACGGCCTGGTTTTCCACGCCCAGGATGGAGACTACCCGCCGAGTTCCCAGCACGCTCAGGGTTGCCACTGTCTGTGTGGGACAGAGAGGGACAGAGCCTCCAGTTGGTGAAGGGCAGCTACAGAGACCCCTAAGTGTGAGTTGTGAGTGTGGCCAGAGGGGGAGAAAACATCCGGGTGGAAGGACCAGCTCCAAGTAGAATCAAAGTGGGCCTGAGGGTGTGACCAGGGGTAATGCCAGGATTATTCTGCTGGAAAGGCTTCCTAAAGAAAGCATTCCAGAGGCATCCACCACTACCTCTCCTCTCCTCGGCTCCAGTGAGAGGAGACAAGGAACACTGTGGCCCCAAGAACAGCTGCTTTGGTTCGTGTTTCCCTAGCAAGGAGTCACATAAGTCTGGACAAGCTCCGGGACTCAGTTCCAGGGACACCTAGTTCCTTTCCAATGCCAAGTGTGAGGCTCTGTCTACACTCTGGGCATATGGACATGCATGGAAGAGACTGCAAGGTCTCTCTACCCCATTTCTAAGCTGGATATTCACACTGGCACAGGCAGGAAGGCAGAAGGAGGTAGATGCAATTCGCATGGTTTCACCATTCCTAGTCTTGGGAGACCCAGAAATACAACCTGAGCTTGGCCCAAACATCTTTCACAGAATGTCCCACAGCTCCATCCCTGATCTAGGAATCACGGGTGCCTCTGGAAGGAACCAAGGCTCGAGTCCCTGTCCCCTGGGTCCAGCCTGCTCAGGCAAGAGCGAGGGCGCAGACTTCATCGGGGTAGGACTGTTCTTGTGAAATTGTCTGTACTGGATGTGCCCCGTCTATGCTGAGAATCCGTTCAGGGTCAAGCCCCGCATATGTGGTCACTGTCTCGATGGTCCAGATGCTGTGGGTAACATCACCGACCACATCATTCGCTGGAGGATGCCCCGCAGGGGAAATGCCAGTTTGATGGTTAGGGAAGGACAGGGACCCTTCTCCTGGTACCAAGCTTCTCTCACTGTGTGGACGGTGCGTGAGTCTGGGGCCAGGCATCTCTGAGCCCGCCGCACACTTTAAGCCCACCAAAAGCAAGGGCTTGGGGTACCGGTGGGCTGCTTTTGGTCTTTAACAGGCCCCAGCTCATCCCAAATCACATTGGGCTTTTTCGAGCTATTTTAATTTTTCCTCTCTTGTTACAGGTCTCCTTGAACTCTGCCTTCAGTTCTTCTGGGAATACGATGAGGGGTGGGTGGCTGGGTGGGTGGAGGGAGGGACAGACAGATTGACTGAGGTAGCAACCCCGCCCCTCCGCCCCACCTACCCGAGACTGGTGCTCGGAGCAAATGCCGACCAGCGTGCGCAGAGCCGCCAGCATGAGGTCGGCCTCACCCGTGTCCAGCAGGCGTTGTAAGAGCTGAACCCCATTGCTCCGGAAGATCTTCTCAGCCCCGGCATCCTCCCGGGCCAGCACCACCAGGTTCTGGGAAGCCTGTGTCAAAGGAAGTGCGCCACAATGCGGACACTACATGCAGCACAGGCCAGGGCAAGCAGAGACCCTGAGCTCTGGACCTCACTGCTTCCACTCAGCACCTGAGTGACCTTGGCCATAAACTGAACCTCTCTGAACTGCAGTTTCCTCCTCTGTAAGTAGAAGGAAGAGCTTGCTCTCGGGATTGATGGTTAGAATAAACGGAATCCTGAGTCCCTGGCAGAGCCCGCCTCAGTCACCTCCACGGCCCTAGCCCCTGGCAACAAGGCGCTCAGTGAACACAGGTTCCCTCTCCGTGGCTCACACTCAGGCCCCAGGCCCTGTAAGCTGTCGCTCAGGCTCTGGGAGCTCGGCTGCTCGGGAGCACAGCAGCAGCTTCTGGGCCAACATCAGCACACACGGAGGGGCAGCTCCAGTGGGAGTTCAGCCCCCACTCACTCAGTCCAGACATGGATATACCTTCTGCTTTTTCTCGGTGCCTTTCTCTTGGGGGTCCAAGAGTATCTGAAACATCTGTTCCACTTTGGCGTCCGTCGAGGACATGTACCGCACCTACGACAAACCAACAAGGCATGGAAGAAATCACTGTTTTAGCCAGAGACATCACATTCCCTATTTGTTCTCTTCGGCTCCTCCCACGGCCTGGCTCCGGTCTCCGGGAGGCACAGCTAGGACATTTGGGTTTAGGGCGGGCACCAAGCTACCTTGGGCAGGAAGAGACTCGCCTGGCAGCTTCACCCAAACTTCCCGAGGCTGTTTTCCTCTCTGAGCGGCTTCCGCTTGGGCAGGACAGGTGGCGCCAATGCTGAAGGCAGTGCCATTCAGAAGGGCGGGCATCCTGTTGGCCATGAGGCAACCCATTCCCACTGCTACCCTCTGTGCTGTGGCAGCACGGGTGCTCTGCCCACGACACAGAACTCGGCATTGACGCCTGCTGCAAGGGAGCCAGGAGATCAGGAGGTAGTTGCTAATGCTCCCTGTGGCTCCAGAACTCTCCTCTGACATCTTCTTTCTTTTTTTTTTTTTCATGTTTATTTATTTTTGAGAGAAAGAGGGTGCAGGTGAGGGGCAGAGAGAGAGGGAGACAGAGGATCTGAAGCGGGCTCTGCACTGACAGCAGAGAGCCCGATGCGGGGCTCACACTCACCAACCGTGAGATCATGACCTGGGCTGAAGCCCGACGTTTAATCGACTGAGCCACCCAGGTGCCCCTCAATCAGATTATTTAAAAAACTTGTCAGAAATCGGGGCACCTGAATGGCTCAGGCAGTTAAGCATCGGGCTTCAGCCCAGGTCATGATCTCAAGGTTCGTGAGTTCGAGTCCCGCATGGGGCTCTCTGCTGTCAGCGCAGAGCCCACTTCAGATCCTCTGTCTCCCTCTCTCTTTCTGCTCCTTCCCTGCTCACTGTCTCAAAAATAATAAATGAAATAATAAAATAATCTGATGAAGACCATCCTAGGCCCTCCCCCCACCCAGGGTTACGGACAGGGGCACATACCTAGCCCGTGCACCACTCCCGGCTTCCCCCTTTGCATTCAGGGCAGACGGACAAATCTGTCATGGCACATTCTGCTAGCCCCGGGCCATCTGCTTCCTAATCCTTCTCAACACAGGGCCCTAGGCAGCTCCTGCTGACCACACAGAGCTGGCATGGAGACATAACGATGTGCCTTCCCAGGTCTCAAGCTTTCAGTAAGGTGACTGCCATGGTATTTCCTGCTTTCACTGTGCCAGCACTGTAACATCACGTTATCTGATTAATTCAAGCTTGGACATTGTTCAAGATGGTCTTCAGATATTTTTTCTCCTAAGGTAACTTTTAAACATATGTACTATACAAACAATGTCTGTTCCTAGATCATAAAGGTAATGGATGAAGCAAAATCTCCTTTGAAAAACCCCATCAGGAGGGAGGGGGGAACTGACTGGCTCAGTCGCTTAAGGGTCCGACTCGATTTCGACACAGATCATGATCTCACAGCTGTGAGATCGAGCCCCACCTTGGGCTCCACACTCAGCGTGGACAGAGCCTGCTTAAGATTCTCACTCCGACTCCCTCTGCCCCTCCCCCACTCGCATGAGCGCACTCTCTCAAACAAAACATCAATCTACTCCTTTACCAAGGAGTCATGCTGTTATCATTCTGACGTCTATTTTTAAAAAGATTTTTCTTCATATTTACACACCCAAACGGACCCACGGAAAAAACATGGTATCATTTTGAGGGTGTATGTGGGGTAGTGTTTTAACATAAACGATATCATACAGTGTGTGTTACAGCCCACTTTGCTTTCTCATTTAACAAGTAGCCTCTTTCCACCTCTATACACGTGGATCTACCTATTCTTGGTGACGACGGCATAGGAGTCTATAGTAAGGGCAGCACCCAGTTTATTTAGCCATTTATTATTGCCGGCGGTAAGACAAAGCTCCAATTTGATTTTTCATTACTACAAACAAGTCTGAAATAAACATACACACGCCTGCTTGTGTACATGCGCAAGGCTTCTCTAGGGAAGGCAACAAGAAGTAAACATACTAAATCACAGATATGCTCATTTAAAATTTTAAGACATATGCTAAGGAGATGTACCAATTTATACCAACTCCAGCAGTGGGTGAGCAAGCCCACCACTTAAGTGTCTGCCTCCCTAATTCTAGCAGAGTGTAAAAGCTTAAAAAGTTTGCCAAACGAGCGCCCGGGTGGTTCAGTTGGTTAAGCGTCTGACTCCAGCTCAGGTCATGATCTCGCGGTTCATGACTTCGAGCCGTGCCTCGGGCTCTGTGCTGACAGCTCAGAGCCTAGAGCCTGCTTCAGATTCTGGGTCTCGCTCTCTCTCTGCCCTTCCTCCGCTCGCTTGCGCTCTCTCTCTCTCAAAAATATATAAACATTAGGAAGAAAAAGCTTGCCAAAGAGACAACCAAAAAACGGCACGTTGCTGTTATTTGTTTGCTTTTCCCTAAATACTAGCAAGACTGAGCCTCATTCCATAAGCTCATCTGCCATCAGTATCTCCTCTCTGTGTTTACACCCTTTGCCCAGATCCATTGGCCAATGTCCCTCTACCACCTCTCTCTCCTCCACCCCATGTCATTTACATACCTTCTCCTGAATCTGGCCCCCGATGTTTCTCAGGGCCTCCTGGAAAACTTTGTTCTTGGGCTCCAGGCTCACACATCTCTGCAGGTCAAGGACAGCCTGGTCAAGACGGCCCAACTTCTCTAGGGCTTGGCTGCGCCGGTAAAGTGCTTTGACATCCCCTCCGTCCTTTTCAATGGCTGAGTACAAACGGGAGCTCCGTCAGCACCCATGAGGCCACCAATCTCCAGGCAAGAGCGGTAGGGGAAAGATCTCGAGGGCCAGAGGAAGGTGGGGGGACAGATGTGGGACTCAGTAATCCAGCCTCAGAAAAGGTGAGGGTAGCTGCAGAAAAGGAAATGCCCAAGGAAGTGGGAAAGAAAGAAAGCAGAGGTGTTTCAGGGGCCAAAGGAAAAGGAGAATGTGAACATGCAGTGGTCCCAGAATCCCTGCCCCCCAGGAGAAGCCCCACAGCTCCACACCACCGCCCACAGTCCCCTACCTTTGGATGCTTCGGTTTCGGCTTTGTCGTAATCTTCCTGCAAGAAGAGGTTCAGGGGCTTGAGAGGCTGGTCATCTCCCTTTCCCAGCACTAGCGGGGCAGCAGGGTAGTTCCCTAGAGCCACTCGATTCACCACCACCCGGAGGCCCAAGAGACATCAGACCAGTGTAGGTGGCCTGGGAAGGTGAATGCCCAACCGGGGCCCAAGCAGCAGCGAGACGGGGAAACCGGGCCGTGGCAGGGCAGAGGAAGGGCAGTGGGCTCCCTCACCAGCTTCAGGTGGCAGGCGGCCCGGTTTCGGTGCAGGATCGCCTGGTCCTGAGGCGTCGCACCCAGACCCAGGGCCTGAGTGTAGGCCGTCAGGGCGCCCTCGTAGTCCCCGCATTTGAACAACTCGTTGCCCTCCTTCCGCAGCTGCTCCACTGAGCTGGCCTGTGGAGGGAATGGGTGGAAACACTGGGGGTGGGCTCCAGCCAGGGCCGGGGAGCTGGGAGAGAGGAGACTGGGGGTCAGGGGCAAATCCCATGGAGGGCCAAGACTTGGGGAGAAGGAGGGTCGGGAACGGTCAGAACAGGTGGGAAGTAGCCATGGCGCGGGCGGGACGGGTACGCACCCCGGGGGCAGCCGGCCGGGGCTCGGGGGAGCCTGGACCACTCACAGTCATCGCGGAGCCAGAGTCCAAGGCGCGCGCAAGCGCAGTCTCTGGGGCGGGGTGGGATCAAGCTCCGGAATCTGACGTCGGCCGCCCCGCCCCGGTCCTGCGTCAGAGCCGGTGCAGGGAAGGGGCGGGGCCAACGCGAGAGCGCGCCGGGCGAGGGGGCGGGGCTCGGGTCCGCGGCGCAGAGTAGCCGTGGGCGCGCCTAGTGTGTTCCAGCCGAGATCCGCAGGGGGCGCGCGGCAGAGGACCCAGAGGGAGGCCCGAGGCTGCCTGGGCGCCGACCCCCTGCCCGACTGCGGCAGAAGTGCACGAGGTCGGCGGTCATCAGGGCCACGAGCAGCAGGGTATAGAGGCCCAGCGCTAGGAGCGGACCCCGGCCCCTGTGGGAGAGGCGAGAGTATCAAGGTGCTGGCCCCAGCCGCGCGCTCACTGCTGCAGCCTTTGGGTTACTGAGCCCCTTAGAGTCCGGAGAAAGCTCGGGACACCCCTCTCCCCAGATAAATATAGAATTCCTAACTAGAAATTCAGAGGGCTCGCAGGTGCCGTGAAACCATTCATGGACGGATTCAGGATTGAAAACCCCACCCATAACGGGTGTAATCCTCGGACTACAAAATCCTCTTAGTCTAGACACCTGTCCCACCCCGCCCCAGCCCCTCTATGCATGCAGTGGCTCCCTGTTACCCGCTTACACAGCCTCCTGAACTTCCTCCACAAAACTGTTTGTAATCATGCATTCACGCGATTTTCTGTTCGAAGGCGGCCCCTCCACTAGTCTGTACTAAGCCTTCCGCCCCAGAATTTAAAAACAGAGCCCCGGATGCTGGAACACCCTGTCTGGATCCCAGTGGCTCTGGGGCTGGTGTTCTCACCTGAGGAGGGGTGGGGGCGGAAGGGCGGACAGGTTGACCTGGTACAAGGCCTCAAATTCAGCCCGGGTGCAGCAGGAGCCCCCTGCAGCCTGCAGGTGACAGCAGTAAGCTTCCTCCGGGGTATCCGACAGCCGAGGACAGAAAAAACCGGGGTAGTGGCGGCCATCAGCATCCCAGCTAGTCTGGCACAAGTGGGGGCGGTGGGCCAGTGCTGAAGGGAGGAGCAAGGGGGCTGGAGACGGGCAAGAATGGTCTGCCCACACCCCACTTCGACCCCCCTGGAGAGTGAAAAGGACCGTTCTCAAAAGCGCAGATTCCTTTCTCCCCGCAAGCTCCCCAGAGCAGCCCGTCCCCTGCTGAAATGATAGGGGATCTGAAGAGGGGCACGCGCAGAGGGGAGAGGAGAGCGCTGTACCTGAAAGAGAGATGGGCTGAGCAAGCGTCACCCAGCTGAAAAGCAACAGTAGCCCCGCGCTGAGGGCTGTGAGCAAAAGGCCCAGCCTCCTCTGAAAGCCCATGCGCGGTCACCTCCACCTCGGTCCTGGCGGTGGGAACCCCGACATCTCTCTTTCTAAGCCATGGCTGCAGACAGTAAGGAAATAAAAATCAAAACCACAAGGCCCCTGGGCACCATTAATACAAACCTGAAGCTTCTCTGTCACCAACCTCTAGAGAGAGATGAAAGGGACTGAGTTTCTATCTTCTGATGGAAAACATGGGGACTGTGTCTCCAAGCTGCCTAAGGTTTTCTGGGCTGAAGGGGGAAAGCCTCAGAAGACCAGAAGGCAGAAGCAAGCATGAGAGAGAAGCTGAGCCATGAGCCTGACGAACAGACAAGCGTTTCTGTCTACGCACTCTCACCTCCCAGGCTGTTGTGGAAGCCTTGGGAATTCTGATCGTTCCATTTCAGGCCCCAGGGACCTCAGTGACAGCTCTGGAGCTTTCCTCCCTAACTTCTGCATCATGACAACCACCAAGACTAGCTGAAAAACAAGGGCAAGTCCTTCCATTAACTTTTCCCTTGAGCCCTCATCTGCCCCAGCTACCAGCCAAAGGCACAAAAGCTACCAGTCTGATTGGAGAACTGTACCTCACAACTAGCCAGTCCCAGTGCACAGGAGAAGCTCTTCCAGGGTCTCCGGGTCTCTCTTGCCCCTTAAACCTCATAGATACCATCTGCTGTGACAGGGGATTTCTCTAGGAGGCTGATGGCCACCAGCCAGCAGTGTTAAGTGTTATCCTAGGGCCTACTGAGGCCTGACAATGCCACGCTCCCAGAACAGCAAGACAACAGTTATCACCCGAGGGGCCCACAGCAGGTGCCTGGGGACTGAAGCAGGAACACTTATGGCACAAGAAAGAAATGCAAACATTTTGTCCAGGCACCTGAGAACAAAGAAGACAGTTCCTGCAGAAACATCACTGCCGCCTGTGAGTCTACTGCGCAGGCTTCTAGTGTAGGCTCCAATTTCCAGAAGATCGGGCCCAAAGGTGAGGCTCCCATGCCCATAGCAACCAGTCCCGTCCCTGCAGGGAAAACCACTTTGGGACCACTTTGAGAATTTTCAGAGCATTGACAGATTGAAGGTTGTCTTTTCATGGGAGGAGAGGATCCTCCTGGGAGAGGCTGTCTTTGACCCCAGAGGCTAGGTGAACGCCCTTCCTCCAAGGTACCATAGCCCCCTATGTCTTCCAGCCCTGGATGTGGCACACTGTGAGGACACTGTCTTATTTCTTGTTTGTCTTCCTCCTCCCCCGAGACTGTGGCCTCCCAGGGAGCCCCGCCATGTTCTTCCTGCACCTTCCGGAGAGCGCCTGCGCCAGGGGCTGCGATGCTGAGGGCAGCTCCCAAACTCCCTTACTCTCTCCGCCAGGGTTATCAGCTGCAGAGAACCAGTGAGCCAGAACCGCCCCCCCCCCGGCCTCCGAGGCGCCAGGGGGCGCTGTGAACGCTCCGTCCCGGGCTCCAGGGGCTCTGGGGACCTCAGTCGCCTGCCCCACCCCGGCGATGGGCTCCGAGGCCACGCAGCTAGTGGAGGCTGCCGACTTCGCAGCTCGCAAGCACCGACTGCAGCGGCGGAAGGACCCCGAAGGGACACCCTACATCAACCACCCTATCGGTGGGCGCACCGCCTCGGGAGCAGCCGCAGCGGCGTCTAGGGGGTGGGGACCGGGACGGGAACGCGGAGGGCCTACACCTCATTGAGCACCTGCTCTGTACCAGGCTTTGTGCCAGGCAGCTTTCGTGTTTAAGCCTCACAACAACCCGGAGCGGTAGGCGTCACCGTTCCTCTGCACAGTTGACACCCAAAGAGAGTAAAGGACTTGCCCAAGGTCATCTGGCTAGTGAGAAGCCACATCTGGCTCTACAGAATCCACAACACGCAGCCTGGGACTCCCTCGGTTCTGACTTCCTGCTTTGCCCCGTCAGGTGTGGCTCGGATCCTGACCCATGAGGCGGGAGTCACTGACATTGTGGTGTTACAGGTAACTCTCGTCGTTCCTCCACTAGGAGCTAGGGTGGGGATCAGGGGCCCCATTCAGCCCTGAGCACCCCTTGGCTGGAGCCGCAGGGCTAAGTGGAAGCCTGTCCCCAGGCAGCGCTGCTCCATGACACAGTGGAGGACACAGACACCACCCTGGATGAGGTGGAGCTGCACTTCGGGGCACAAGTGCGGCGCCTGGTGGAGGAGGTAACAGATGACAAGACTCTGCCCAAGCTGGAGAGGAAGCGGCTGCAGGTGGAGCAGGCTCCCCACAGCAGTCCCGGGGCTAAACTGGTGAAGCTGGCAGACAAGCTGTACAATCTGAGGGACCTGAATCGCTGCACCCCAGAGGGTACGCTCCCCCCACCTGCCCTGAGGGGAAAGGGAGGGACGCCCACCTTCCCCAGGCACAGGTTGGTCAGTTCCCCTGGAAAGAAAAGAGCCTGGGCTTTCTTGTTGACTCCCCAAGCTAATACTAGACCACTCTGGTCTCCTTTCACACCGTAGAAATAACAGTAACTGGGCCCAGGGCAAGTGCTCTGGACAGATCCCATCAGGCACTCATCTCATGGCCGTGCACCATGCCCTCCAGGAAGTGGGCAAAATCCAATACTGTCCTGGATGTCCTATGAGCAGTTTTCTGTCCGTTCTCATGCAGGATGGTCTGAACATCGAGTCCAGGAATACTTCGAGTGGGCAGCGCAAGTGGTGAAGGGGCTTCAGGGAACAAACCGACAGCTGGAAGAGGCTCTAAAGCAGTTGTTTAAGGAGCGGGGGCTGACACTCTGAGCAGTGCTTGCAGCTACCAGGTGGCCCAGACTTCAGCCTCCTCCGGCCAGAAAGGAATCATATTCCAACCTTTTGGTGCCTCTGGGTCTCACTCCCTGATTTATTCAGCCCAGATATCTCTCAATGTTTCCTGCCAACTAAGCTGAGCCCTGGATTGAGGAAATCAGATGCAGCTCATCCATTTCTAACGCATTTACTGCCCCTTCTCCTTGGGTCTCTTTGCTATTTTGCATGGGCCAAAACCCTGCCCCCTTCCCCCCCCCCCCCGGGACTTGGGCTTATATAAACACGCATAAGTCATTATGGAAAATAAAACATTTTGGGTAAAGTTTTAAGTTCTTGCTGCTCCTTCCCCAACCTCCTGAATGGGGAACTGGGATGCGGGATTCAGCATGGCAGGGTTCCAATTGTGTGTCCCCCGGGGAAAGGTTCCTCAGGTTGAGCGCCTCAACCCCTCTGAGCCTGGTTTCCTTAACAGTGAGACAGGCTGTGTAATTATTAGGGTTAGATTATGTGACGTCTCAGATGGAGCCTGACACATAGGCGCTCAAAAAATGGTAGTCGTCGTCCTCCTTAAGAAAACGGGACGGGATGACTGACGTTTTGGAAAGGAATGCCACCTGCTTACTGGCTGCTCTTGCTGAGCCCTGGAGAGACCCCAGAAGCGATATGACAGGACCGGTGGGGGACTGCGGGTCCCAGACCGCAGCCCATCCCAGGTCTCAGCGCTAGCCTTCTGCCAGTGCCTTGGGTTGCTAAGTGACATGGACTTCCGGGCACCTCCGGAAGTGGTCGGGGCGGCCCAGCCCGGGAGCCCTGGGGTGGGCGGAGTTTAGGGTAGGGGGCGGGCCGCTTCATG